CTACACAGTCATGGCCTATGACTGCTACCTGGCCATCGGTTACCCGCTCAGGTACACCAGCATGATGAGTGGGAGAACATGTACCCTCCTGGCCACTAGCACTTGGCTCAGTGGGTCTCTGCACTCTGCTCTGCAGACCACATTGACCTTCCATTTGTCCTACTGTGGGCCCAACCAGATCCAGCACTACTTCTGTGATGCACCACCCATTCTCAAGCTGGCCTGTGCAGACACCTCAGCCAACGAGATGGTCATCTTTGTCAACATTGGTGTGGTGGCCTCAGGCTGCTTTGTCCTGATAGTGCTGTCCTATGTGTCCATCGTCTGCTCCATCCTGAAGATCCGCACCTCAGAGGGGAGACGCAGGGCCTCCCAGACCTGTGCCTCCCACTGTACCGTGGTCCTTTGTTTCTTTGTCCCATGTGTTTTCATTTACCTGAGGCCAGGCTCCAAGGAGGCTGTGGATGGGGTTGTGGCAGTTTTCTACACTGTGCTGACCCACCTTCTCAACCCTGTTGTGTACACACTGAGGAACAAGGAGGTGCAGAAAGCTCTGTTGAAACTGAAAAGTGGGTCAGTATCCACTCAGAGTAATTAGTCACAAAAAGCCAGATATGCCGAACTTCTTTATTTTAGTTATAATTAAAATATACCTTCGAAATGATCATTTCTCTTGGTAGGGGCATTTTAGTTACTCAATCTTAATTTTTTAATGGAATGAAAAAATGGAATAACCGAATGGTTCATAAAATTTTAATTTTTTTTTCTTGAAGTATGTTTTTCAGAATCCTGGTTAATGCAGTCGTTTAATGATGATGATCTAAGAGTAGGGATAACAGTCTATTCTTATTGCTGTGTTTTATTAAGTAAATCATCAGAACAGTAGTTTATTTTTACTATCTATACAAATACTTTCCAGAATTGCTATTCCTTATAATACTGTTATAGCTTATTATGTGCAATTTGAGTCAAAACTTATAAAATAATTTGCCCATTTTTTACACTTTCTAAATTGAAAAAAAGGCACTTACTGTATTCACAATCCGTTATATAATACACTATCTATATGATGAAATTTTTACTTTAGAAAATGCTAGACAAAAAATGCTTCTTTCTGAAAAATGGCTTTATTTACATGCATGAACTAATGAAAACTGTGTAACTCCCTGTCTTTATTTATTTTGCCCTTCAAGGTTTTTGAAATTAAACATTTGCCCATTTACACACTGTATTGGTCACCTGCAACAACTATCTAGACTTTCCTTCTATATTTACAGAGCTCCTGATTTCTTATCCTAAATGCAAAGCTCCTATTTCCAGCAACCTTAAAATTATTTTTGTAAGTAAACAGGGGACAAACAGTAAATATAAAAAGAAAAAGCAAAGAGCCTTAGAGATGAAAATGTACAAAGAATATTGAGGGTATCCCCAAATTTAGAACAACGTACTGGGCAATACTTCCCATGTGATTAAACTATGTCTGTAAGTTACATTTATTTTACTTAAAGTATAAAGTGAATTTTGGGAAACAATTGGAGGAAGGTAAACTTAAGGGATGCAAGATCAACTAAAGAGCTTTTTCAATTGCATATCAGGAAGAAAAAAATCCAAAAATCCAAATTCAGCAGCAGCAGTTGGAAGTGAGTAGTGAAATGAATGACAAACAGTAGCCCACTGTGTGAGGAGGTAAACTTGATGGAGAAGTTTATATGCTCTGGTAGTTGTGATATAACTCGCCGAAATACAGAACATAACAGGGTTACGTCCTTAGGGTAGAATGAAATGTCTAACTTTGAAATGTTTGGGTTGAGTACCGTGGAAATTTGAGGAAAATTACTCTGGTTGATGGTGTAGCTCCGGAGATGAAGCAGCTGAACCTACAAAGTGCAGTAATCAAGAAGACTGGTCACCACCTTCTTTGATTTGTGCTGGCTGTTGAACGTCTGTGTCCTAAAAATGGAGAAGAAAACTTCTTTCATTTGACAGTAGTATAAAGCGAGGCCAGATCAGGAAAGGGTAACCACCACCCCTCCTACATTTCCCAAGTAAGCCCAAGAAAGGGAGCCTTCAGGAGATCTCTGCAGATCTGTTACTAGACATTTCCTTACAAAACTGTTTCTCACCATAACACCTAAAGTCATTTACAGAGATTGTAAATTCACAGAGGCCCAGAGATAACACTTATAAAAGCAGCTGCTTCTCGATGGCATGGTCCTGGGAGGTCCCACAGGTGGAAGGGCCACCACTGTTGCTCTTCCTGTTCCCTGATGCTATTAACTCTTCTGCTGCAGAGATCAGGCTGTCATAGCATTGAGGGAATCCTGGAAGGGGATTAAAAAGAAGTGAGGTGTCAAAAGCATTAAAGTAATAAAGGGGCAGCTAGAGGACTAGGGGAATGACGGTGTGCATAGTAGGCACATAGTGCACATAGTAGACACAAAAAGATGCTGCCTGTGTGTTTAAAGGAGATAAGTGCTGTAAATCATAGTAATCAAGAGTGTACAGAACTGGCGTAAGCACTGACATATGGATAAATGCAGCGGACTATGGAGTCCAGAAACAGAACGACACATACCAGTTAGTTGATTTTTAGTCAGAGCGCTAAGGCATTTTCAAGGGGAATGTATAGTGCTTTTGACAAATGATGCTGAAAATAGTCAGTCATCCCTAAGTAAAACCTGACGTTTGACTATTACCTCACTCTATATGCAAAAATTAGCTTGAATTGGATTATTGGCCTAAATGTAACAGCTAAAATGTAAATGTCTAGGAAAAGAAGTAGGAGAAAAACTGTTATAAACTTGGGGTAGCTGTAGATCTCTTAGAGAGGATAGAAAAAGCATGAACCATAGAAATAAATCAAAAATTGGACTTCATCAAATTAGAAACCTGTGCTCTTCAAATGAGATCAATAAATAAATGAGTAGACAAGAAACACACTTGATGCAAATATTTGGAATGCACATATCCAATAAAGAATTTTTAAAGGTATCATACAATTCAATAAGTAAAAGCAGCCACAAGGCTTTTTTCCATACATATTCCAAACAAGAATTCCTGCAATCCAGATGCAAGATGTGCATGGACCCTATGAGAAACAGGCAAAAGATTTCAACACACATTTCTCAAAGGAAGATATATGAATAGCCACTGGGAAAATAAAAAGTCACCAACATTGCTAATCATCATTACATGGCAGTGAAATGTCAATTAAACACAGAACTGAATGGCTAAAACTAAAAAGGCTAACATCACTATTAGTGAGAATGTGGATTAGGACCATGTGCATTGCTGGTGGATATATAAAATGGACAGTGAGCTCAAAGAAAAACCAGTTTCTGAAATGTTAAATGTACACTTTTAATTTATCATTCAACTTAGCAATTCTGCCTTGCTCAAGAGAATTGAAATAACATCTCATGGACATTTGCAAATGAATGTACATTATTTATTAATAATATCTCCAAACTGGAAGCAATAGTTGATGAATTATGGCCTGTAGTTATAGAATAGACTACCATTCAGTGACAAGTGAATTACCGATATGCACCCACACATAAATGAAGACATTAGGATGAGCAAAAGAACCCAGACACAAGAGAGCATATACTATACGATTACACTTATAGGAAACTCTAAAAGGGAAAATCAAATCTATAGCAAGAGAAGATCAGTAGCTCTCTGGAGCTCAGGTGGTGGGAGATTGACGGAAGTGCCATGACGAATTCTGTTGTGTTAATGGAAAGGCTTTTTATCTTGATTGTGGTAGAAGATACACAGATACACACATTTGTCAAAACACAAAAAACTGCACAGTGGATGCAAATTGTACTTAAGAGTTTTGCGGTTTAGTGGATAAAGATTGTCTCAATAAGGTTTTTAAAATAGACATAAAGAAAAGTCAAATTACAAATTAAAAACCAAAAAAGGAAAACTGTGGTTTCTAAACAGCCATGACAGGGTAGTTGGTATCAAACTTAACCTTCTTTTAAAATAAGTATAAACCTGCATAAAATGTAATCCCACACTATAAAATGTGGAGGGTTAGAAATGCTGATTCTCATTTGATTTTTAGAATAGGGTTTTTAGGTAAAGCATGTATGAGACAAAAGTCTCCCACCAGGGGGCGCTAGACCACAAGTAGTGTGGGAACAGCCCATCTAATCAGCTCTAATCACTGCTTAGGTATGGGATTGTATACTTAAATGATTTTAGAGATAACAGGTGGTTGTCATAGGGATCCTGTTAAGAGATTTTAAGGAGTTGCTGGAGGGAAAAAAATGTTTGCTAAGGACATACTTTCTTTTGGTGGAAACTTTAGAGACAATCATACTTAGATTTAATCATAAAAATGCAACATTTACTTAAATCACTTAAGGAGAGGTTATATTTTAGATAATGATTGCAGTTTGTTCAACTTAGCTTTTCACTAATTGTACTTTGGAATGTCATTTTGTTAATTTTACTGATGTTCCTAGTTTCCATT